CTGTTTTTCAAATAGCCTATATTTTACTGCTATATCAACGTTGTACGTCATTAATATAATCGCAGCATTCATATAAATAGTAATTGTCGAAAATAACTAGCGATTTAATTTCTAAACAAACTGTCTTGAGATTAACTTTTTAATTATTATATAGTAACCAACAAAAGTCATTCGATAAACTGCCATAACGTTTTAATGCAATTTTTCAATAATTGGAGTCATGAACATTTTCACATCGTAAACAAATATCATGATAGTTCAGAAACGTGGTAAACATTCCCAGAATATTGAACAACGCATTAAACTGCTCAGAACAATTAATCTTGATTTATGGGGCATTCTTAAAAATATTACGACTAAACCCTGTGAGGATAATACTAATCACGGGAAAATGACGCTCACATAAAACAACATGGGATTTATACTTCCTTTTTCCGGATTTTATGGTTCGCAAAGTTAAGAGATGGAATAGGATCACTATACTTAGCTTTACTATAATATGTAATATAGATATATAAAAGAATAAAAATATATTTTTGACCTATCTATTGACACCGACAATCGGTCACATGTATATCGAGCGTATTTCTGTCGTGTGTTATTAAGTAAAAAGAGTTGTTTTTAAAGATAAAGTAGAATATTTTTATTTATTTATTTTTATATTGATCTTATTTAAGACCAACAATTACGGCCATTAGCTGTGGATAGGAACAGTAGGTTTTTTGTGTAAGGTTTATTTGGAAAGTTTGGTTAGTATGATTGGAACACGTGTGTGTGTATGTATGTGTGTGCGCGCGCGCGCGTGTGTGTGTGTATGTCATTAATTCGTCACTAAGAACTCGGGTGGTCACCCATCCGAGAGCTAGTGACGCCGGCTGATGCTTGACCTCAGAACACATTAGTGACTGAGGCCAACCACCGCGCCACACCAGGTCACAAGAGTAAATTTATTATTATTATAGTAAATTATGAAAAATATCTGAAAATGTTGTTTCTACCTTGCCTCAACAAACCGTCCAATACGTTTATTCATTTTGTTTTAGAATGCAATGCTGTTTTTTCATCCTAACCGATTTTAACGTGACAGTAATTTGTAAACATTAGTAACCCTCTTTCCTAACATTAGGCAAAAACCTTTCCCAATGGCTTTAATTATAACATTACACTAAATGCAGATTAAACCATATACGAGTTATTAAAAATATGACTTTTCGACAATCAATGAAAAAAGAAAAAAATAGTAAGATATTTCAAACTAACAGGCATGATTCGTGCTGTCGGAAATTTTCTAATTAAAATATCTCTGAAATAAGAATACTATCAAGTATCGAAAAAGAGGCCAATTATCTGTTTTTATTTTTGTATAAAATGTGCGTTTTTGTTATTTATAAAGAATGTTTTTAGCTTATATTAAACCGTATTATAAATAATATATCAATATACATGATAATTAAGCCGAGAACGTAACATATTTTATTTATTATATTATATTATATTATCATAATATAGTGCTATAGTATATCGAATGTTAAGTTTTAGAAAAAATTGTTTAAATATTCAAAAATTAAAATCAAAAATATTTGAAGTATTTAACTAGCTTACAAATTTTAACGATTAAAGTAATAATTTACAGAATATAAAATAACAATAATCTATAAATTGAATATTATCTAGGAATTTATATACTTTTTTATAGAAACCCGCAAAGACCAAGTAATTCATATACTTTGTATGAATACTAAATAATAAAATTACTATTATAAACAATGTTATGTATGGAAATATGTGAGTTGTAATTTATAGACCAAAAACCAATTTAATCAATTTTGACAAAAACCCTAGTTTGTTTTTAAAGATAACAGAAAAGTTTAGAAAGTATATTAAACCACGTCTAATTTTTAAGTCTGAAGAAACTTTTTTTTATTTTTATGTTGATTACATAATCTACTGTGGGTACTATCAATAATAATAAAAGCCATATTTTAAAATTGTTAATTTTTACAAAAGAAGTACTCCTGAAACCGATTAGCAATACTTTAACCAAAATACACTAAGCGTTGAATCCAATCCGACGCAGGTGAATTGTTTACCTGAGGTTTGTTAACATAGAAAGATCATTAAAACCAAAATATATCAAATGCTGTTTTCTATAATTATTATTAATTTTTCCAGGGTTTAATCAAGTATAAACAACTAGTTTTATATATATATATATACAATTTATAATAAATAGCAATCATTATTAATTATTTAATTTAGTTTATTGTTGTATTTAGTATTTGTCATGACCCAAGATAGTTTACAATAACCCTTTCATATATTTTAATCGTTATATTATGTTTAAACTAATTTTTGAAAATTCAAAATACTATCCAACTTGTTTTATTGAGTATCCTTTAAATTAATTTAATTACAAAAATTCAACGATCTATGTAGTTTTAATAATAACACTGTTTTATGTATTCTAATAATAGCAATAGAAACTTGTTAAAAATCTCTTAGATTAGATTAATATAGCGAGAATTCTGGTTTATACATTGATATTTAAGTTAGGTTTTTTAAAAACTGATATTTTATTTTAAATTTGCTATGACATAATTGGAAAATTAATATCATGGCTAGATTATTAGAGTATATTAGAAACAAAACCACTATGAAGAATTTTGTCTGGGTACGAGATTTCTAAATTTTTAGCAGACAAAATAATATTTTGACTTGATTTTAGCTACTATCATTCATTATTTTTAATTAAATAAGTACTTATAAATCATAAATGAATGTATTATGTTTAACTTAGTAATAATAGTAACTAATTGTTGATCACGTCTGTAGTACGCAGAATAAACTATAAAGTAAACAATTTTATGCCAGGCACAACGAACTGTAGTTTTTAATATTATTAAAAAACCATTAAATGTATTATTCTACTTTTTTTTTGATCAGCTGTTTTTCCAATGTCAATTTTTATAAAATGATAAATTATATTCACTTTTTAAATCGTCGTTTGAATTTTTTAAGTAAAACAACATAGTACCTCAATGGGTTGTACAGTATGAATTTACACTCATACAAATAAAACCCAGGTAGTTAATATATTATATTTAAAAAAATATACGTATTACTCTAATAATATGTGATTATAACTATTAAAAAAAGAAAATTCCATTTTCACGATTTTATTACAACTAAACTTTAGCGTAAACCGTTCAAAGTATACGACATCAATGATGCTATTAAAATATTTGTTTTCAGAACAAATACACTATAAACATTTTTATCTTAAATTTTTAGTTTTTACTTCCTTATACATTAAATAAACCTGACTAAAGTTAACAGTCGTTATATTTATTCTAATATCTTAATATACCTCGTTATTTCTACTATATAATATATAATATGTTTTAACTTTTAACATCTATTTCTGAATATTATGTTAGCTATATTATGTAAAGGTAATTTAAAACTACACAGTCATCAATAAATATATTATAATAGTAGGTAGGCACATATATGTTTTATATATGTTATATTCTTTTTTCAAACAATTTTGTCAACCTTTGAATTAATAGTCCAAGTCTTTCGCAGGTTTCTTTCGCAAATACATAAACTAATAGTAAGAAATTAAGAAATTAGCTATCACAAAGAAATTAAAAACTAACTCTTTAAATACCATAGAAAAAAATTGATCATCGAATAAAGTAACCACCTGTATTCGGTTACGAAATAAAAAATATTTGAAATCGAAATATTTCTAAACACGTGCTATAACATTTTTTTTTTTAAACTGAAACCAATTTTGAGACAAATTTTTTGGTAATTCTACTAGTTATTTTTGATATTTAAAAATCAATTTTTTAAACAGGACACTACTTTTCTGAATTCGATGATAAAACAAAGTTTAATTTTTCCAATTTTAGTATAAAAAATTACAAATACAAAACATACGTCTTACTTTTAAAAACAAAATTAATGTATACAATATATCTGTGTATTTATTAATGAATTAAAGCATATTTATTTTTAAAAAAATCACGTATATAGCTTTATAAGTTATAAGTTATACAAGTTTTCGATAATTTAATTGTTTACATTAAACCATAAACATTATAGTAACCAACATACAAAATACTACTTAACAGAATATTTTCCTCTGTCATCAAATCACAAGAAATCTATGCAGCACTAACATTTTCAAATCAAATATCTACAGTAAACTTGTGGAATTTATAGCGCGAAATTTCAATTATATAACATAAAAATTTAATAATACCGATTATTCATGATCAAGATAAAAGATAAACGAATTAAAAAATAATTTAAATAAACGTCATAAACCTACATCCGATTTCGTATCAAAAATATCATTCATAATTCACATTTGAAATGTACATCTATAGCGGTTGATGAAAAAATATAAAACAATAAGATTGCATTAAACTGGTATTTCAATATACTAAAAATACCACCAACTCGAGACTAAAAGTCTTATACTATTGACTAAATTTCTAACGATACTAAAAACTATCCGGAACCTAAATGAAATTACTCAGACCATAATATCTAGGTTGGTCATATGTATGTGCTAAAGGTGAAAAAAAGCTTATGTCACGAATTCTAATCTTAATAATGCATATAATTTCGATGTTGAAAAATGTGTATAGCATTTAAGTTATTGAAGCACAAAGGCAAGGTTTTAAATTATATTAAATATATTTTATTAATGAATAATTAAATATTGTAATAGTAAAATATCGTCGAACAAATCAGAAAAATAATAGTCGTGTTTTTTGAAATTTAAGAATTTTGGACGTTGGTTATTCGCAACGAAAATTTTATACCATTAGAATAAAAATAAAATAGACCGCAAAACTACTCCTTTTTAGGAACAATGTATACCCATTACGCGTTCGTATAGTGCGGTAAGACACGAAGTGGATTTCAAAAGTTGTCGTACAATCAATAAATACCAATAACAATGTATAGAAATATATGAATCTCACCTGGTTTTGTGATAAATATAATAATTAAATATATTTATTAAAGTTTTGCGAGTCGCAATGCCTTTTCGAACGCGTGCGAGTTGTTTGGTCGTCAACTGTGTCGCAGAGGTCTCGTGGAGGCGCAGGCCGCGTGCCGTCCAAACAGCGTGCCGGCGGTGACTGCGGTCACCGGACCGACGCGCCGTCGTCGCGCACTTTTGTCGAAGCCCACACGGTGGGCGTAACCCCGAGACGGCGAGCGCGGGCGCCTTGACGCGCTCACGCTCCGCCCGGCTGGCCCACGTGCACCGCGACGCCGCGGACAGTCTATCGCCGGGTGACCCATATCCGGCGGTTCCCGTGGGCGAGTTTTCACCCAGTACCCGACTTTTGGGGCGCCTCCTTTTCTTCCGCCCAAACTCCTCGTTACCGCCACCCCCGCCCAGCCCGTCCACAATTCTCTGCCCCCCTCCCAAAAAACCAACCACGAGGGGGTGCGCGCACTCCCCACCACACACACACACACATCTACGCACGAACTGTACCCATACATACACGCGCGCGCGAACGCTCGCCTAACCGCCTACAGCTTTTTTTTTCATACACTGGCTCCTTTTTATCTTTACGATATTTTACGACGAATTTCATAATAATAATAAAATACTTGTACGACGTCCATTATATTATATCGTTAAATCTTTTCGTATTATTATTTTTTTCGTTTCGGCGACCATTGCGTATTATGTTTCTTTGCGATTCCAAAGTCTATTAATATTATTATTATTATTACTATGCCTTTAAATGACCGGCTCTTGCAAATTTTTTCTCCGATGATTTTGTTTTTATATAATTTTTCTTTCGTGCACCGCGTTATAGTTATTTCCATCCTTTTTACTTATCTCAGGACATAGAACATTATTCTAACTGCGACTGCAGTGTGTGAAAAAAAAATAACACCTCTGATTTGCGTGCGATCCACTAAAACGATTTGTCCGAATAACATAAGTAACGTCGTGGAGGTCGGATAATATTATATAAAATTTTTATAATATATCAGTTTAGAGTATTAAAAACTAAATGTTTTTTTTCTATGTCCTCTATATTCCAAAATACTACAAAACTGTTTTCAATAAGAATTATATCAACAGATTCCTTAAAAAATATGGGAGAAGGGGGTTGTAGCTTCGTTGCTGTATTGTTTAATATTTTGTAATTTGCGCTAATAAACCTAATCTAAAACATAGTATCAGCTATTGTATTTAAGAGGCAAAGTGTGTAGTTGAGGTTTGTATATTTAAAACACCCTAAATCGATTTTGAAAAAAAAAAAGTGATTGAGAATATTTCAACTGAAAGAAAACAAGAAGGATAGGTCGATTATTCAATTTATAAATCATTCATCCACAAGTGAATTGTTCATCTTAGTTTTATTTATATTCCGGTAATACTAGATAATATTGACTAGTTATTAAACATACATAGAAATGTTTGTGCATTTTTTAGTAGGTATTCAATATTCTCGAAAACTACTGAATCAATTTGCACCAAATTTTGCACACATATTCCTTGAGACTCAAAGAGTGTTTATAGTTTCGTATTTTTTTAAACCCATATAGGTGACTTGCACAAGAATTTAGTTTTGGCTCACCAAAATTTAATACTAGTGGGTTATATATAATATGTGCTATCTATTGGTTAAAGAGGTCAAAAAAACTTTAATATTATAATCTATATATAATATATATATTAATAAATGTATACTTTTAACATTTATACCTACTTAAAAACTACTCAACAGAGTTTATGGACAATTGTTCTTGGAGACATTATGAAAATACAGAGAGTAGTTTTGACTACGATTGAAATTATGCAAAGTTCTATATCCAATTAGCCACAGGCAGTTTCTCATCTTGGTCGAATTTGTTTACAAAGTAAGCTACATTGATCATTGATAACGATTTCTTCATGAATTGTACACTAAAACTGAAATACATCTGTAGTCCGTATCTTATAATTGTTAATTTTAGTATATTCCGAGTAGAATCGGGTTATACAGCTTATAATATATATTATTAATTTTTATAAATACAACATTTTACTGATAAAACCTAGTTTTATTAATTTTATGTATAGAAAGTTATAAAAAAAAATTAACTTAACATTTTTAAATATAGAATTTGTAGGTTTAATTCCTCTAACAATCAAAATGTATATTCTTATATAGTTTTATATCAAGTCATATGAGAAATATAAAAAATGGTGATTAAATTTAATATTAAAAATATGTTATTAACTATAAATTATTATAAAATTCAAGTATAATTTTTCTTTAATCAAATATTTGCAAAGAATCTGTTATAACTGACTTCTGATAGTAATGCAACTCAACGTTTTTAATTAAAAATATAATATTAAACAAAATTAATAAAATTGTATAATAAATATAAACATTTTATAAGTAATGGCATTTAAATCAAATAAATTCTTTTAAGAGATGATATGCAAAATTTTTGATATGTAATTTGGATATTCTAAATTACTAACAATCCTCATGACCTCATTCAATCATTCTGTTAAGAATTTCTTAATCGAAATAAAACGCATTTTCACTATAAATTACTGCTTTTTTTATGAGCAATAGTTTTTACCGTTTTTCACATTTAACTTATAAGTTGTATGATGTGAATAAAATAAATTATTTTTTTGAATCAATACCTAGTATTTTCTTTTTATAATACATTTTTTTTTAAAACGATAAATTTCCTATTTTTCTCTCTTTTTTCAATTTTCGTCATTTTTCCTTCTAATAGTTGATTACTTTATGTTAGAAATATCAACAAACCTTTGTTTACTTTTATGTATTTTAAAGTTTAAACGTATTCGTATGTAATATAAAATACATGTTTAATGAAACATACTATACGTACCTACATAATATATATTATATATAGTAAAAACGTTAATTTAGAAGTACTTGCACTTAAATACTCAACGAATTTGCCTAAATAATAGCAAATTCTTCCAACCATTTATAATTTATAACGAATTCAATAAATATGTTCAATAATATTAAAACCAAAAAATTATTAAAAGTTTTTATGTTTAAATTATTTTGAGAAACTCATTATTTTGTTATTCAAATTTTTAATGCCTAATAATAATTTCCTAGAATACATCTTTTTCTAGCTATACAATCATATTTTTTCTAACAAGTGTATAAAATATGTATGTTACGTTAAAATTACAAATAATATAATATGTTTTCTCTTGCTTTTTACTCATATATTATAATTATTATATTAAAAACCCGGTTGAAAAAGATAAAATTTATTATTTAAGTATATTAGGTACTACATTAGCTATATAGGCTTTACAATTATACTAGCCACTAAGTATTTATACACATTTTTATTATCATATGTATTAGGTAAACCTATTTGTATTTTAAAAATTATTAATTATTTAGTAGGCTTGGCTACTGTGAAATTTTGAGTTACACAATAGACTTATAGATCGGCATTTACATTAATTTTTAGTATATTTTACATTATTTTTGTGTCCGTGCAGCTATTATATTTTCAACAATAAACCGATCGGTAGATATACATATATATATATAATTCAGATAGTTTAAAAAATACAAATTTATTATGTTCCTAAGTTTACGTATAAAAATCTATAGTATTGAAGAACAGTTTTAATTGCTAACTACTAACTAGTATAATTTAGCATAAAATTATCTATTATAAAAAAAATCTTTAATGTTATCTAGGTTAGGTTGTAAAACTAAATTTTGATATTTCTTATCATTTTAGCTAATATTTTTATGAGTTTTGTAATAATTGGTATATTTGCTATAGAAAATCATTTTGGACCAATATTCGACTAATCAGTATAAGTAAATATGTATTTAGTTTTTATGATTTTTAAATGGTTTCCGAATTATGCAAAAACCAATAATAGATACAAACATTATCGATAACGGGATATCTCGTAAATTACTTTGATATAATCTTTACACACATTTAAAAAAAAAAAATGTTGATAGTTTATACGATTGTTTGGAAAGCGCTCGCGTCATTTTTTTGAATCGACTGCGGCACAACAGGTTAGGTCAGATTTTAAATATTTTATTTCTAACAGCAAATTTCACATCAAGTTTTCCAACAAATCCGAACTCTCGTCGCGAGAACGCGCCGACCAGTCTCAACGAGCTCTCGGAAGGGATGGGTGAGTGGGGTTGGTGTGTACTAGCTGTATATTATTATCGTTGCGTGCCGGATGTACCGGATGGTGGGCCGCTGCGGTACGCAAATATACGATATTATAACGTACGAGCCGGTCGTTATTCATCGAATTAATTGCCGTTCGTGGACACTTTGGAGCGCCAGCCGGTCAAACTTGGGCCATAAAGTCGGGCGGCCGCGATGAGGGATGTGCGAGCGCCAAACTCGCTCGACGGAAATTACGACGGTGAATATCATCGTCATCGTTGTTATAATAATAATTATTACAGTTATTATTGTTATATTCGTGAGATTTCAGAAGAGGAAGAGAGTTGCATGCACACCTTTGAACTACTGGGAATAATCATCGCATCTCGAGTAAGTTTTTATGTGTGTGTGTGTGTTGGGGGAGAGGTGTGTACGTGGGTGTAAGTATGCGCGCTAACGACGCGTAATAATAACGTAGCTCTTCGTTTATAACATAAATACGGCACGCTCGCGTGTAATTATACACGGTGACACGCGTTCCTATTAATCAACTACGTGAAAATAGCGCAAAGTCGGTGCTAATTTTTTAATTGTTAATTATCATACTTTTGGTTCGGCAAAACTTTCGTCTACACGCGCCACGCGCGCACCGTCTCGTTTATTATTACCGTGCTTCTTATATAAGATACAGCTGCAATTCGAAATCACTATATAGGTTTGTATTTTATTTCGTGTAAAACATGCAAAGCTCACTTCCACTCATCCACTACTTTGTTTTTACGAAAATATGCTATTGTGGTGTATACTATTATGGTAATATTATAATATTCCACCATTAAAAATTTCTATAAAATTCGATTTTTATCGATCTTATCTGTTTACTTTTA